GACTGTGAAGGCATGTTTTAACGTGACATTGAAAGAGTTGATTTACATATCTTTCATTCAGCTTGGACTGTAATGCGTTATATTCATCTCCAAGCCGATGGGACATACACCAGAAGTAAACTTCTCATGCTCCCTCAAAACAAACACCTTCATGCCCTTTTCTTTCAGTTGGTGTGGAGCTCTAAATTAATTTTCTTTACCGTAGTTAGTTGCAGAGTTCATACACACACACACTTTTTTTTATTGAAACACCTATTGCACGGACAGAAAAATCCCAACAATATACATACATCACAAATTTGCTGTGTATAACCTTGCATGCACATCCAGCATTCTTAACATAGCAGCTGACCAGCGAGGAGTGGCCCGGGCAGCAACATCACACAGGGCCCTAAAACATCCACGGAGCCACAGGAAACAGACTCTGCTCATAGCGCCTGGTCTGTCCAGCAGCCTCTCTGTCTCTGGTGTCCGGATGCAGACATGCAAAAGGTTGTGAGGAGGAGAGCAATGAAAGTGAGAAAGCCTCTTCCAGGATTAAAAGAGGAACAAACAAGGGAGTAAATAAGAGGGTTAGAAAAATATGATAATCCTAAAAGCAGTTCTCTGGACCCTGATGTGTAGTTCATGAAGCACTAAATAATGACAGTCGAAAAATAAAGAGACATTTGGTTCATTCTTATTAAATACTAAGTATGATTTACCTACCTCGTTGATTTGTTTGTCATACTTAAATCCCGAATTGAATGGTTAAACAGAAGAGGTCAAAGGGCCAAGATGAGAAGATATGTTGGTCAAATGCTGTGGTCCAAATAAAATGACTTCAGTTCTGTTGACATTGAAGTACGGAAAGAAAAAATGTTAAATTTTGATGATCTCCTGATAATTAAACTGCCTACATTTTAAGTGTAATGTGGAGGAAAGTTTTATTCAAAAAAAGAAAAAGATTCAAATATTGTCTTTTGTAAAGAGCGTACTTAGGTTGGCATCACTTTCCTCACTTTATTTATAGACGCATTAACCTAATTCAGCTTTTCCAGCCTTGCTGACGAGCAAAAACACTGAAGATGATGAGGAAGAAAAGCTACAACTTAAGTACTAATGTAAGTACTAGACTTCCTGATCCACACACCAGCTGGTGGCGGTAATGCACCAATTCGTTGTTTGCCAACCGCCAATAAACCTCAAAGAAGAAGATTACAAAAGGCGGCTGCTGGGTTTGTTGACTTTCTCTGAGGAATGGCGGACCCCATGGAGGTTCACTTTTCGGTGAATGGTAAGTTAGTTTATTGTAACTTGACTCCTTTATCTATTTTTTCAATATGTCTGATGTAAATGTTGATATTCACGGTGCCTCCGCATTCCCTGGTGGACTGTTTTCTAGTGTGTTCGTCTCGGTGTCTTCTTGTTCGGCCTCTCTCGTCATGGCTGACGGGGCGTAACTTCCCAAAGTGTGGGCTCACTTTACTGACGATATGTGTGCTCCTTTATATGTAAATGCATCTAAATGTAATATTTGTTTAAAAAATAAAAACAAGTCTGTAGTTATGTGTGCTGTTTAAATTGTGTGTTGCTTATGGTTAATATGTTCAAATGTAGAGAGATGATCACAGCCTTTAAACTCACTTACATCACCAACACACATTTGTAGCAATTGCAAAAAAAAATAAGATTATTGAGTCTTTTAGTGTCTTTATTTTTTTTTTTGCACGAAATAATGCAGAGTACTATAAAAAGAAGTGATCAGTATCGACATTGGTATCAATAAAATCCTGGCAATACCCATCCATACATATTGCATATTATATTGTATACTGTAATTTGGAAACCGTACATTATAAGGTTTTAGACTGAATGTAATTATAGATCTAGGTAAGTCTAATCAATGCAAGTCTCAAATGATGATACAAGGGGCACAATAACTGTGTTTAGTCAGCCTCCATCTATACACATGGGAGTTATTCAGACGTACAGTATCCGTCTACAGTGTTTACGCTCCTAACTCTAATCATACTTTTGTGTCTTTGTCAGACTTCACTTCGACTGTCTCGAGCCACGCCGGCAACTCAAGTTCTGCAAATCCCCGTGACCCACAGCGCCATTCGGTTCATGCACAGTCAGTGGAACCCACACAACGTGATCATGATTATTGCAAGACGGGCAGTAGGCAAGATGTGCAATATAAGTCGACTCAATATAAGACGACTCAATATAAGACGACTCAATATAAGATGACTCGATATGATGACGTTGGATACCCGTTTATTGATAATGACCACAAGGCTTTGCACTACATCGGTATCGCCCTGGATGTATTTAACATCCTTGTGTCTTCACTGGAAGGAAACACTAGCAATACATTTCCAATGTCTCTGCGGAATCAAGTTCTCCTGACGCTTATGATGTTAAAGACCAACCGTGACATTGCTAAGCTGGCCGAACAGTTTCGCGTATCGGAGAGCATGGCTAGCAAGATCGTCTCGTTTTGGATCGACGAACTGGAGAAAGTTCTGCAACCTCTAATTCCGTGGCTTCCCAAAGAAACCATTGAAGCAACCATGCCCCAAGCATTTAGGAAGCACTATCCTAACACAACGTGTGTTTTACAGTTCTGTCAGTGCTATGTGCAAAAAAACCCAAACCGTGAGTCAAGAGGGGAACCGCACGTCCACTATTATGACACGGTGAAATTTTTGGTTGCTGTCGCCCCATGTGGACTCATCATGTTCATCTCTGGAGCTTATGAGGTGCACAGCAGTGACAAAAGCATAACCTTGAACTCGGGACTTTTCGACAAATTAAAAGCCGGAGATGTGTTCATGACACAACATGGATATTGCTCCAGAAATGTGTCATCCACTAGCCACGTTGCTAGAGCAATCCAACATTTGAAGGTTTACAAAATATTATCACGCGTTGTTTCGAATCGCATGGCTCCTCAAATCAACAAGATTCTGAGAATATGTTCCGCTCTTGTCAATTTAAGATACGATGTCGTCCATGCCTCGCAGTAATTGAGCATGTGATCAACATGAGTGGACTTAATCTACTTGGTTGTCAAGAACCGTCCAAAGAAATGGTGCAGTATTAATCTCTGATGGTTGAAAAATGTTTTGGGGGGAAAAAAACATGTTAGGGAGTTGGGGAATTTGTGTGAATAGTTTTTGCATGTTTTATATTTACATTACATTCTTTTTATTATATTTATTTACATTTTTTAAAACTCTGACAACTTGGAAGGTGGAGAACAATAAGTAACCACTCTCATCGTGTAATGTCATCAGCTTGTTTTGAATATGACGTGACTGTTTTTTACTTTTCTTACTCATTTGCAGTAAAATGTACTGTATCAAACATCGTTGCACATCTCTTCATTCTTAAAACGGAAATGAAACGACTGTGAAGGCATGTTTTAACGTGACATTGAAAGAGTTGATTTACA